TGTTGATATTCCATGTTTCATGAGTTTGGAGCTTCTAAAAGACATTGTTTAACTCAGCCTCCTCCAATTTAAAATTTCATCTAAATAAATGGGGATACCCAACAGAATTGGACTGGCAATAATACTTTACTTGACAAATGGGGGAATCCAACAGAATTATTATTTCTTCAGAGTTTTCCAGTAACAATGCATATAGTTCTGTCTTCATGGACCATCAATTCCGTTCCCAGATCTGGGCTGCAGATATTTTGATGACCACTGGATGGCAGCAAAAGACCAGAGAATGGCTTCAACTTTTCAGGCAGGCATTTGTTTCTCCAGTGTGGATCCGTTGCCGCTCAACTACAAGTGGAGTAAGTAATCGGAAACGTGAAGCATAGTAAATGATACTATATTCACAAAGCAGGTATTAGGGATAATGCAGCTTTCTGGCATTAGGTGGTTTCTTGATTTTTTATCACGAAAGGGACCCTCACTAATGAAAATATTAGTCTTCAGCTTCTCCAGTTAAAATAGCATGCTTTTCCTGCTGAAATAAAAATTAAAAGAACTCACTGCGATACATTAGATTTATGGTGAGTGGGAAGTGTTGACCTGAGCAGATTCCAGGCTCAATAAGGCACGGTGCGCTTCCTTATTGAAAATCCTGCTGGTCAACTTTTGTGGCCAGACAAGGTTTCGCACAGAGCCTGGTTGCTTGATTCTCCTAGAGCAGCGCTTTTCAACTCGGAACCTTAAAATAAGCGGACTTCACCTCCTGGAATTCTGGGAGTTGAAGTCTACACATTTTAAAAAGTTGAGGTTCAGAAACATTAAGTACAGTACTGTACCCCAGAACCTCCTGATGGTCGTTTAAAATGATCAGGGTATTTAAACTCAAACGCGGCTCAGCGGCGCCACCCAAGGGAAAGAATGGAAGGTTGTGGGCGACGTTTGAAAGCAGCTTGTGCATTGGAGAAAATTAAAATAATCATTTTTTGTCGTTTCTTTAGCAAACTGTGTAGCTTGTTTATGGGGTGAGGAGGGGAAAATGAGGAGTGCATTGATATTTTACTAGTTTTCTACCTGGTTATAATAAGAAAGCAAAGAATGAGAATAAATTTTCTCAAAGGAAGGAAATAAAAAATAGATGGCAACCATCTGTGTTGGGCCTGGTGCATACCCTGTTTAGATATAATCTTGATTTCAGAAGAGGTCATAAACTTTCTGAAGTTTATTGCTATAACTGGAGAAATTTTGGAATATTGGATGACACTTGCTTATGGAATAGCACGAGAACATCTAGAGGTACAGTGTATTTGAACCAGAGACCAGGACACAATTAAAAAATTAACACAGTATGCAAATTTGTTTATTTACAAATTCAGTACCAGTGGTAAAATAGAAAAGCTTAAAGAGCAATTAAGTTATAAGTCCCTTTTACAACTTATGTAAATCATTTTTTAAATTTGATTGTTATAATATCTACATATAGTAATTAGTCTATTAATAGGATACAGTGATAATAGTTTATCTTACTGATTGGGTTAATACATGGGTATTGAAATATACAACTAGGGGTAGAAAGAATGAGATAATGTTTCTGGAATTGTTATTTCACCATAGCCATTATCTAAAAACCTTGAGTTCTCAGCGCTAATTGATATTTTCCTTGTGGCTAGGCTTGCAATCCTATAGCTAATACTTTTATTTATCTTGTTAGCCCCTATTGCAGCCTGTGTGTTGCAGAATTTCTAGTGCTTAATTGCTTTTTGAATTAGCAAAGCAATAGGTGTGGGTTATAGTCCTGATCCAGACCCTTCAGATTTTTTCCTGTACTCTGTCGTTTGTTTAATGTGTGTAAGAAGATTTTGTGTCTCAGAATGGGAAAAATTGAAGATCTATAAAGAGATTAATTTTTGTTATGTGATAAGAGTTTCCTTTATTCCTTTATTGCCCAGAATTGGTTCTCAGGATTTTTGCAGCCATGATCAGGGATCCATAGTTACGGTGAAACATTTTGTGATAAGAAAAAGATCAGCTACATAATCTATAGATTCTGGAAGAAGAATAAAATATACCTGTAATTAACAAATCAAGGCTTTGATTACTCCAATTTCATCTTAAACATTGAACAGGAAGGAATCGGGCAACAATATTTTCTTCCTAGAGTATCTGTTTGAAGACTGCCACAGAAAAAGGATTTACTATTTCATATGGCAATTTATCCCCCTGACTGGCAGCTATTACACTCTGGAAGTTCCTCCTGATGACTAGCCAGGTCATCTAGGTCAGGGCTTTTCAACCTTTTCACCCATTGTACCACTTTTTGGATAAGGCAATATCCGAGTACCACCACTCGCAAACAAGGAATCAAAAACCTGACTCCCCCCCAAAAAAGGAAAAAATGAGAAAGTACAGGTAGTCCTCGACTTACAACAATTCGCTTAGTGACTGTTTGAAGTTACAAGCGAATTATGATCATTTTTCACACTTATGACTATTGCAGCATCCCCAGGGTGTTGTGATTTACATTCGGATGCTTGGCAACTGATTCATACTTATGACATTCAGAGTGTCCCAGGGTCATGTGATCAATGACCGGGGGGCGTGGCCAGCTGATCACTCAGGTTGCAGGGTGCCTATGGGGGTAATCCGTGGGTCTTTGGTGGAGGGGGATGCGATTGGGGCAGGTGCTTACCTGCCTTCCCTCCCTCTCTCCCATTGTCCCTTCCTTCTTTTCTTCCTTTCCTTCATCTCCCTTTGTCCCTTCCTCCTTCCCTCCCTCTCTCCCTTCCTCCCCTTCCTTCTTTCCTTCCTTTCCTTCACTTCCCTTTGTCCCTTCCTCCTTCCCTCCCTCTCTCCCATTGTCCCTGCCTTCCTTCTTTCCTTCACCTCTCTCTTTGTCTCTTCCTCCTTCCCTCCCTCTCTCCCCGTCAAGCCCCCGCGGCTCGACATGAATGGGTGGGGGGAGGGGTCGAGGACGATATGCGGGGCGGCAAAGGAGACCAGCGGCCAGCACCATTCTACCTGGTAGCGTAGATGTCGGCTCCGTGGGCGTCCCGACCAATAGCTGAGCGGCTCCTACTCTTAGCCACCGAACAGCTGATGGGCGGAAGGCCGAGGCAGGGAGCCAAGGGCCGATGGAGCGGCCTGAAGCTGAAAGGCTCTGTCTCTTGGCCGCCGAACAGCTGATGAATGCCAGGCCTGGAGCACAGCCAAACGACGCTCACGGGACTGGAAGGCTGCAGTGCTGCAGCTCCCATTGTCCCTTCCTTCCTACCTTTCCTTCCTTCCTGGTTCCTTTGTCCTGTGCTACGCAGAAAGTCAGAAGCATTCCTCATTTCACTGCTTTTTTGCCTGCCTAGGTTCATTTTGTTCATCTGTTTAGGTAAGAATCCAATGGATCATCATGGGTTGTATAGTAGTTGATAAAAAGAACAGTTAAAAGAATTTAAAAGAGTTAAAAAGGGGAGAAGATAAAATTTTGAAGGTATCAGACAGATACAATTTCATTAGACATTATTTGCTGCCTCATCGCTATGGCAGTGAACTAAAATTTATCTACATTATGAGTAATAGTAATATCCCATCCTTTGAATGGCCTCATTAGAGGGGAACAAAGCTGAAAAACATTGGTCTTGTGCCAAACAAATGAGATCCATATTCTTGCAACTCAAAATGTAAAAAGGCCCATCAAGGTCATAAATAATATCTTTAGAGCTAAGGTATGAGTCATTGCTACATGTAGCACATCTCCTCATATATCACATGTGATATCTTTTGATGTGGTTCAGTCAAAGGATCCCAGTTTCTATTGTAGGTTATCTATTAATGTGATCAAAGCAGGTTCTTTATATATTATACAGTCCTAGTCACTTTAAATAGCTTTACATTCCTATCATTCAGCTGTTTTATAAAGGTGTAAAGGTATCATCTTGATACTTTCCCGCAGAAATAAGGTATCTGGAACATTCTCATGTCTATAGACTGGAAAGTACCCCTAATAATGGGAAAATCAGTTGGCAGGATTCAATTCATAGGACCTGGCATAAGGCTAGAATCCAACTCAAGGCAGATCTAATTATATTTATCTTTTTCTGATTTGCTATCTGGTTATGATTAGAAAGCAAAGAATGAGAATAAATAGTCTCATAACAAAGTCATAGAGTTTGTGAACTTCACTGCTGTATCTGGAGAACTGGAATATTGAATGAGATTTGCTTATGGAATAGCACTTGTATGAGAATATCTTAGGGGTATGCAGTAGTGTATTTGAACAAGAGACCAGGACATGATTAAAACATTAACATAGTATGCAGTTAGTTTATTGACAGTGATAGAAAATAGAAAAGATTAAATAGTGATGACGTTATAAGCCCACTTTACAATTAATCACTATTAATTGGATACAGCATTAATGAGGTTAATTTTTTGATTAGGTCAATGTAGATATATTGAAATACATAACTAAGGGTAGAATGAATGAGGTAATATTTCTGAAGTTGTTATTTTACATGGCCATTATCTAAAAACCTTGAGTTTCGAGCACTAATTGTTAATTTCCTTGTGGGTAGGCTTGAATCCAATGGTTTATATTTTTATTTATCTTGTTAGCACCTATTGTGTCCTGTGTGTTGCAGAATTTCTAGTGCTTAATTGCTTTTTAGAGGAGCTAACAATACTGAATTAGCAAAGCAATATATATGGGTCAGAATCCTGATCCGGACCTTTCAGATTTTCTCTAATACTCTATCATTTGTTTGTAATGTGTGTAAGAAGATTGTATATAAAGATGATAAGTTTCATCTATCTCTTTATTGCCTAGAATTGGTTCTCAGGATTTTTGCAGCCATGATTAGGAATCCCTAGTTATGGTGAAACTGTTTTGTGATAAGAAAAGGATCACCTATGTAATCTGTGGACATGGAAGAAGAATAGAATATACCTGTAATTAACAAATCAAGACTTTAATTACTGCAATTTCCTCTTAAACATTCAACAGGAAGAAATTGAGGACATTATTTTCTTCCTAGAATAATATGAAAGAGGTTTCCTTTCTTTAGCTCAATTTCTTGGAAACCAGCTTTGTGGAGGAGCACATTCAACTCAGTTGCTGACCGTTCTTTCCCTTCAAGGTAGAGCAATATTAACAAGGAGTAGATATGGGCTGCTAAAGGCCCTCTCCTGTCTTCATCAAGAAGCATTTCCACTATTAAGACACCACCACCTGTTTCAAAATATATTTCAATTATTTAGAGGCGAGAAAATATTGCTATTCAACAGCTCAATGAACATTACATAATATTTTGAAAATACCCCAATTTTATGTTATGAATCTTTCTTTCAAATATGTTATATTTATTCCTGCCAATGATCAATACAGACCAATTTGTTGCTGTTGTTTTTGGAATTTTTTTCAATTTGCAGATATTTTAAATATTTTCCAAGGTTTTTCCCTCAATCTTTTGTAGAAATTGACCATGTAAAGCTTTTCCTTGCCAAAATTCTGTTTGCATTTCATTACATTATATTATAAAGGTAAGGGTTTCCTCTGTCAAGTTGTGACTGACTCTAGGGGGTGGTGATCATTTCTGTTTCTTAGCCAAGAGAGCCAGCATTGTCCGAAGATACTTCTGTGGTCATGTGGCCAGCATGATTATACCCTGAGCTGCATAGAATGCTGTTACATTCCCACTAAAATGGTACCTATTTATCTACTTGCATTTGAATGCTTTTGAACTGCTAGGTTGGCAGGAGCTGGGGCAAATAGCAGGAGCTCACCCCATCGTGTGGCACTCAGATCTCAAACTCTGGCTGTCAGGTAACAAGCTCAGTGTCTTTAATAGCTGAGCCATCATTCTCCAATATACTATATTATAATATCAATATTCATGTTTTGTTATTTGCTATCTAATACATAATCAGCCAATGCATACTCTACTTCTTTGACAGTTTGTTTGACTTGAAGTATAATCTATCAATATTATTATGGGGTTGTAAGACATAGTAAATAGTCATCAGTTTTATTGTTTTTAAGTCCAAATTGTCCAGTTCTGCTTATGTCCAGTTAAAATTCTAGCAGTATATGTGCCGGTTTTGATGGTGTTTCCACTTCTCAATATTGTCATTAGCAATTTTCTCACTCTTTGGATGTATTCTTTACAAATCAAATTTTTAACTTGTACATCCTTAATGATATCCAATTTGTAATGGTTGGCTGCACAGTCAGCAGACATTAGACTGGATTTGGCATTTTTATGCACCTATTATCCACCAAGGACCTGGGATAGGCAGATGTTGTTATTTGGTATGTTGTCATTTGATGGTGTTAAAGGAATCATTGCAGGATGTAAGCTGTTTTCAAGTAAAGTTTACTTTTGCAATTGACTGATAGTAATTTTGTCAATGCCAATGGTGTTCAAGTGGTGCTTCAGATGTTTTGGGATTGTACCCAGGGTGCCTATTATTATTGTTATTAACTTTACTTTCATTTGCCACATTCATTCTACTTCTAATTGCTGGTCTTTGTATTTTGTGATTTTCTCCAAGTCTTTCTGTTCTGTTTTGCTATCTCCAGGTTCTGCAAGGTCCAGTAACCACACTTTTTTGTCTTTCTTATCAGCAGGTGCTAAGTCTGGGATGGTATGTAGCAGGTGCTAAGTCTGGGATGGTATGTAGCAGGTGCTTGTCTATTGGAATTCTAAAGTCCCAGAGCACTTTAGCTTCTGCATTTTCCATTACTTTTGTCTATTTTGTGGTCAGATCTTGCTTGTAGCAAATGGTATTTCTTGCACATATTCCAATGCACCATTGTTGCTACTTTGTCATGCTGTTATTTGTAGTCAGTCTGTGTGATAGTCTTGCAGCAACTAACTAGGTGGTCCACTGCTTCTTCAGCTTTTTTGCAGAGTTGGCAGTTGCTGTCTGTTGCTATCTTCTCAATTCTGGCTTTGAATGCATTTGTTCTTAAAGCTTGGTCTTGTGCAGCCAGAATTAGCACCTTTGTCTCTTTATTCAATTTTCTTGCTCTTAGCCATTGCCAGGTCCTGTTATCTGCTTTTCCGGATAGTTTATATTTTAGTGTACTGGCTATGTAATAGTTTGTCTTGCCATTTCTCTTTTTTATTCTTTGCAGGTAATGCTTGAATTACAACCACAACTGAGCCCAAAATTTCCATTGCTAAGCAAGACAGTTAAGTGAGTTTTGCCCTGTTTATTACCAGAGTTGTTAAGTGCATCACTATAGTTGTTAAGTGAATCATGCTGTTGTTAAACAAATCTGACTTCCCCTATTGACTTCATTTATCAGAAGCTAACCAGGAAGGTTACAAATGGTGATCACATGACCTCCGGAAAATGCAACAATCATAAATGTATGCCAGTTGCCAAGCACCCAAATTTTAATCACATGACCATGGGAATTCTGCAATGGTCATAAGTGTGAAAACTGGTCAAAGGTCACTTTGTAATTTTGAATGGTCACTAAATGAATGATTGTAATTCAAGAACTACCTGTATTTGATCCCTCTTACAGGCCACTTTGGTATCTCCAGTAAGCCCTCATGATGTTTCAGTGTTTTCTTATCCTCCTTCATATATTCTTCCAATGACCATTTTTCTTACAAAACTATCTAGTGTACTTGCAAAATTCCATGCCCGCCTATCTTCCTTCAAAAGTAGAGTCTGTCAATGTTGTTGCATGAATGAAGGGCATAGCTCATTATTATTGTTTTTCTGGTCTTCCTATCCAGGGTTTTTAGTTCTGATTCCATCCAATCCTCTATTCCAGCTATGTATCTAATGATTGAAATTGCCCCAGTATTAATTGCCTGGATGGTATTTCTGCCACTGAGTTTGAACTTAAAATCTTCATTCTCACAATGTATTTTAATTTTAAGCTTCTTCTTGAGTTCCACGCACTTGATGTTATTAGCTTGAAAAATGCCCAAGTATTTGTAGTGATCTTCTTCATATATCTCTTGATGTTATTTCCACAGGATTTCTTTTTTTTAAAAAAAATGTTGTATTGATTTTAACATAATCACCTTAATATTTGGTAAACAGCGTGTTGTCTGGGTTAATATTTAAAAAAGAATCAATAACAATTAATTTCTATAATTCTATAGTCCATATAGTGGCTTTGCTTGATTTTCTCTTCTTCCAATAATATTCTCTTTTGCCAACCTTAAATTAATACAGTTCTTATTATTTGAATAAATGACAATTAAGTATAGACATTTTTCTCATGTTTCTGCAAATAATAACCATATCAATATAAAGCTTCTTTTCTAATTGCCTCATCATAGATTCTGTTTACAGAATTCTTATTTAAATTTGTTTTCCCCACAATATTCAAAGCATTCTTACTGCTTAAGATTTTCTCAAAATTAGTTACTGTACACTTAAGTATTTAAGTTTTTTTTTCTCATACAAGCCATCCGAACACTTTTACATTTCTCATATCTTAAAAAAAGAAAAAAAAAAAACATTTCTTTTATATAAACCATCCCAACATTGTTATATTTCTCATGTCAAAAAACAAAACACAAAAAAGAAAGAAAAAATACTATGTTACTTGAGGGGTTCATCCCTCTTAAATTAATCTTCATTTATATACAAAATCTTTCTACTTCTTTAATCATATTCAAACAGATGTTTAATTTTTAAATATTCCCTCTGGTAAATCCCATCATCTAATTTCTTAATTCTCACTTTAGTCTTTTTTTGCCAAACATCTTTCCTGATCAATATGCTTCGCTGAATCAAAGAATCTTTCTATAATCTTAAAAGTGTTGTTGCAGATACAAAAGGCAAAATAGGTAAGATGTTTTTATACTGTAGGAAGGTTTCGCCCCTTCGTATTCATTGAGAATCTTTTCCTTTCTTTCTTTCTTGATTTTATTTATCATTTTTTGTCTCTCAAGTTCTCGTAGTTCTCCTGACAGAATCCATTTTGTCAAATCTTTTTTCTTGTCCTCGAATTTATTTTGTAATTTTAGGGTATAGGTTACCTTTTCCATGTCCAGCATTTCCTGTAAGTTTTTTTCCATCTAAGTTAAGTCATACTTTCTTCTATTGTTAATTTCCATCTTGAAATCTCTCTCCTCTGTCTCGTATTCAGTTGTCTGTTTTTTCTGCTCACTCTCTGTTTTTATTTTCTGAAACTTTTTGTGTTGTAAAGTTAAATTGGAGATGTGTTCATTTATATTTTCAAAGTTATTTTTAATTTCCTCGTGGTTTGAGATCATTGTTGTTTGGATTAGTTGCAACATAGCATAGATCTCCTTCTGGAAAGTATTTGTTTTTTCTTGGTATATTCTTTCTGCAGATCTCTGGTTTTCCATGATAGCTAAAAAAATCAGGGTTTTCCTTTTTCTGCAGACAGCTTTAGAGTCACAGTTGAGTTGGTATTTGTAATCCAGAAAGGTCAATTCTTTTTTTTTTTAGAGTTTATAATTCTCACTTTGTAGATAGTCCGAAATGTTTTCTTTCTTTTTTGTCACAGCTCTTTTCTGTTATTAAGACATTGAAGGTCACCAAAATCAAGTTATCTTTTCCTGGGCTTTGCCATTCCCTGTAATAAAGCAACTGCTGTTGTATATTTTTATCTACCACTAGATGTCAGCACCAGTCAGTAATAGACAATTGTTTACTTCTATTTTCATAATTTAAAAGGAAAATCTTAACAGATTCCACAGATTTCAAACTTATCCAAATTAAGTCTTATATTCATTTCATTTCAGTATATTTCTGTCCCCTCTGAAAAGTTTAATTCGCTCCTTCCATCTGTAGGAGGGTGGGGCAAAGATCCCCCCTTCTCACTTTTGGAGGCTTTTTGCTTCTTGGGGTTTTTCCTTTTTTCTTTTCCAAGAAATCAATTTTTAAGTAGAAGAGAGAAAAATAACTGTTCTTACCTAGTTCCAAACACGTTGTTTACAGTCAACTTAAAGTAGTGCTTTTGGGCTTCAGCTGCTTGTAGCTTGGGCTAGACTCTGAAGTTAAGCTAGCCTTTCTCCTGCTGGTTTCTGGAGGGCTTTTCCCAAACCGATTGGATCAACCGCCGTCTCTCTGCAATCGGCGGGACTTCCTTCCTTCTTTGTTGCCTCTACAGGGCAACCTCAGGCCCATTTAGAGTCCCCCAGCAGGCAGAAATCGGCCATAGAGTGCGGAGCCCTGCGATCCCTCAGCTGCTGCACTACTGTGCAAAACCAGAAGCCATTTCCACAGAATTTCTTAATTCCTTTAGTTTTTACTATTTTCCCCTGTTGATGGTAAAGGTGGCACATTTGTGTAGTCCAAACTCCATTGCAATATATACACAGTTTTGAACAGTTATTCTAGTTCATACAGTATTTTTCCATACAGCTTCAGATCATTCATATAAAGATGGTGGGGTAGTCTGGCAGATGTTTTTGATGTTTGATAGACATGGCCTGATTTGTTCAGTATTGTTGACAGAAAAATCAATGCAATGATAAACAGTAGTGATAATAGTGAGTCTCCCTGAAAGATTCCTCTCTTGATATTAACTCTTCCTAATCTATCTCCTCTAATTAGCAATGATGTTTTCCATAGTTCTATTGATCCTTTGCAAAGGTTCTGACATTTCTACTGTTATGTCTAGGCACTGGATTATCCAATCATGTGGCAGAGAATCAAATGCTTCCTTGTAATGAATCCAAGCTACCTTCCAGTTGATCTTCCTTTTCTTGCAGTTTTCCAAAATCATCTTATCAATTAAGAGCTGATGGATTGTTCCTCTGCTGTTTGGGCAGTTTCCTTTCTGCTCAGTTGAAAGAGCTTGTTTTCATCTAGATGCTGTTGTACTGCACTAGCTACAATACCAGTTAGCAATCTGAAAATTGTTGGTAAACAGATAATTGGTTTATATTATTATTATTATGGTTGGTTGCACATTCAGCCAGATTTTTAAACTGTATTTGGAATTTTTGTCTCCCTGTCAAGTTCTTCTCAAGGACTTGGGATAGGCAGATGTGTATGTTTGATGGCATTATAGATATCTTCACAGGATGTAAGCTCTTCCAAGGAAAGCTGCCTTTTGCAATTGACCGATTTGTCAGTGTCGATGGTGTTCAAGTCCTGCTCCAATTGTTTTGGGAATTGCACCCAAGGAGCCTATTATTATTGGTACTGCTTTCTTTGGCCACACATTCTGTTTCTATTTGCAGATGTTTGTATTGTATTACCTTCTCTAGTTCTTTCTCTTCTGTTCTGATGTCTCCAGGTACTGCTATGTCCACTATCCATATATTTTTTTGAGGTGTTATGTGGCAGGTGCCTTTGTGTTGGAATGACGTCCCAGAGTACTTTATCTTCTTCATTTTCTATGACTTTCTCTATTTTTTGGTCCCACCAGTTCTTGCTTGCAGGCAAATGGTATTTCTTGCATATCTTCCAATGCACCATTGTTGCTACTTTGTCATGCTGTTGTTTATAGTCAGTCTGTACAATCTTCTTGCAGCAGCTAACCAGCTTTGCAGAAGTGGCACTTGCTTTCTGTTGCTGTCTTCTCAGTTCTAGCTTTGTATATATTTGTTATTAAGGCTTGATCTTGTACAGCCAGAATTAGCCCTTCTGAATTTTTTGCTAATATATATCTAGGCAGTAGAGGCCAAGAAGTAGTAAAGAGTCACAATGAGAGGTCTTATTAATTTGTAACACAGCCACTAAAACACAAATGAATCTGATTTGTACAACACAGGCCCTTGGGTTATAGAGTAGAGATGGCTGCAAGAATCACTCTGGAGCCACAATTTTTTTTAGCACTGCAGCTGAATTACTTATTCTAAGATGCCAGTTGAAGGCCCAGGAAAACTGGATGGTGAATTTGAAATAACACTAGATGTAGGGCAGTTCAAAACTTGAGCCAAGTATGAACTTTGCCAGTTCCCTAGCAAATTTAACTTTTCGTGATTAAAGAATACCTACCAGGTTTGCAGGCTTGGTACACTTTGTGTAACAGCTGCAAACAATTCTCATCCGACCAGTCATGGAGAATCCTGGCCAAAATGTACAGATCTGCTTCAGGAATGGGATCTTTAAAAAAATTACCTACAAAAAAGCAAAATCTCATTTAGCACCATGTCTTCCAGATTATTCTGACAAAATAAGCTGTTTTTTCTTTTAAAAAAAAACCCCACACAGAATCCAGTCTGTATGTGAAAGTTTCTTGTGCTTAGCCAAACATGAGTTCAATCCACAAGGAAGATTGCATCACATCTTTTACCTGCATGGAAAGTGATCCGGGTCTCTTCTGAAGGAAAACAATGGTTCTTGGATGCTTCCACTATTTCAGGAAGGTCAAAAATGGTCACAGTACATTTTGGGTAGAGTGAAATCAATTCCTTAGCTAAGCCACCAGTGCTTCCTTAAAGAAAGAACAAAATGTAATTAAGTAACCGCAAAACAAAATTTTGTACATGTCCAGTATTTTTCTCTGAAGCTACCCTACCTAGTATTTCTCTACATCAGATTAACTGGAATCTAATAATTTAAAAAATGAGACAAACCTCTTTCAAATTTGCTATGCTTCATATCATGGAAAACAAATACTAATAGGGAAAAAGAACAGAGATTGAGTCAATTGATTCTCAGCTTTTATATGGTCCTTCCAGGCTATAAAAATTCCTTGGGCTGGATGCGCTGAATATTCAAAATGTCCAAAAACATTGGCCTTTCATGCAGATTGAACAGAAAAAAACTGAACATCATCTCAATCCCACATCATCTTCAGTCATGGTCTCTTGCATCCTCCAAATGTTCCCAGGCAAATCCAGTTTAAGAGTCCTTTATTAATCAGCCTGCTATTCTCTGATTTCAATTCTTTCCCATCTTTGGTCAGCACTGGAAAAGGGGAAGAATAGTGGCCTGTTTTCTCTTCAGAACTATCTCCCTTTTCAAACAGACTCTGCCAATTTCTCCACTGACTGTAATATTGTATCAGGCCAGAATGACAGTTAATCATCTTTAAAACAGGACTATTTCATATAAAAAAAATGGCACTGGCTGTACTTACCACCCAGATCGCAAATGAGTGGGAACTGGGACAGATCAAAGGCAGAAAGTACTTCTCTTCCTAGCACAGGCCAGAGCTCATTCATGAAATTGGAGAAGGTTTGTAACTCTTCCTTTGAGCTAGAATTCAAATATACATATCTAAATATAACTTTATAAAATGCTACTGTATTTACATATCTATTTCTATATTTATATTTGAATTAAAAGAATTCTTTTTACAGTATCACTTAAATTATGTTGATCAGGATTTGGAAAAATCTGCATGTGATACATGAAACAGTCCTACCATTTTGGTGAAAAATGTTATAATATTCTTGAAAAAAGCAAATTTGTATAGGTGCTATAACTGCAGACCTGTGGTTTGTATATAAACAAAAATGCCTGGTCAGTTAGATCTGCCACAAGTAGATTCCAGTGCCATAAAAGAGAGGTTGAATATGGTGAAAATGATGGGTCAAGAAATATGATAGAGAAAATAATGATACTCTGAAGGTTAATCATATTGAACAGTTGCCCACAAAACAATTACTCCATTTAATGACCATTCTCTAAAATTATAATGTTACCTGTAAATGACCTCAAAAGTCTTGTTTGAGGGAGAGCCATATATTGACGGAATCTGATTTTTTCCTTTCCTAAAAGAATTTTTAAAAAGTTAGAAAGGAACAAGACAATCATCCTGGCATTTTCTTCTGCACAGAAGTAGATCCTGAATGTCTTATAAGTTTTTCACAGTTCAAATTTTATTCTAAAGTTTTCATTATTAAGCCACTACGCCTTCATTCTCTCAAGTACTGTGCAGTACAATCTAATGCATCTCTACCAAGAAATAGCCATACAGGCTGGTAAATTAGGTTGGTTAGTTGAAGAAACTCCCCAGATGAAGGCAATGAACCCAAGTCACTTCTATACTGCTGCTTTTTTAATGAAATTACCTGTTACAAATCCTTTGTTTTCTCTTAAAAAAAAAAAAAAAAAGAGTTATTTTAATATTTTTGGTTTAAAGGAAGATTCAATGGCAATCCCAATTCAGCAGGTTTATGAATTCACTGTTGATGGATTTGTAGGTTAAAAAAATCCCCCCAAATCTTTTTGTCTTAAGATTTACATTGGATAGAATAGCTCAAATACTTGTTCAGTCACTAGTTGTGACCATAGCACAACTGGTCCCCCTAACCCAGACGTGTCAAACACAATGCCCGGGGGCCGGATGTGGCCCACAAGTGGTTTCATGTGGCCCACGAAGCCATCCTGGAAACAGTGAGGGAATGGCCCCCGCTGCCTTGGCCCTGGTCCAGGCTGGCCGGGAGCCAATGTACAATTTTGTGGTGGCCATCTATGCTGAAACACATTCAGTCTTAGCTCCACAAGGCCGTCTGGGAACAGCGAGGAACCAGCCCCTGCTGCATCGGCCCCGCCCCCTGGGTGCATGTTGGGGAGGTGTCACCCTTTGTGAGGAATAAAGAAATGGACATGCCTTGGCATTTGCCCCGGTCCCAGTCCCTTCTGCCAGAGACCCTCAGATCTGTCCCACTCCTGCCCAGGTCCCACAGGCACCCTTGACACAAATAATGTAGAGCTGGCCATACCCACCCAGTAGGCCACACCCACTCCATCCATGCCCATCCAGTAGGCCGCACCACCCTGGCCACACCCACCCGGCCCCCCGAGGGCAACCGCAATGCTGATGCAGCCCTCAATGAAATTGAGTTTGACTCCCCTGCCCTAACCTCCACTGCCTCCTGGAGTTTACCCAAACTCATGTTCATTATGTTGATGACACTATCTAAACATTTCATCCACCATCTTTTTGCCTTCAGTCTTTTCAACATCAATGTCTTTTCCAGTGAATCCTCTCTTCTCATTTGATGGCCAAAGTATTTGAGCTTCAGCTTCAGTATCTGTCCGTCCTAAATCAAGCAGTTCCTTTCATTGTAGAGTTTTAATGTTGTGGGGATCATCTTTGTAGTAGTTAGCATACAAGACAGGAAGGTCTACCTGATGAAGGCTGGAGTGATATACCGGTAGTCCTCATGTTTCAACTATTTGTTTAGCAGCCATTCAAAGTTTTAACAGTATTGAATGAATGGTATTTATGACTGGTCTTCAGAGTTCCAGCCACTGCAGCATCTACACAGTGATCATAATTTCTGATATTTCCTGCCAGCTTCCTACAAGCAAATCAATGGGAAAGCTGCCAGAAGTTGGAAATCAATCACATGAGGCCCTGAGCTAATAATCTATGCAGTCCTCATATAATGATGGCAACTGAGACTGCTAGAATTGCAGTTGCTAAGCAACATGGTCACATGACATCACACTTTATGATTGCATCACTTAATGATGGAAATTCCAGTTCTAACTGCTGCCAGAACTTGAGGACTACCTGTAGCAGGGAATGTATTGACATTTTCATATTTTAAGAACTGTGTTAACACCCCAAAAAGTTTTACATTTATTGTGTTTTTTGTTCTTTTACTTTTTATTGCTTAGAAATTGTTCTTTGAGTTTTTGTCTTTGAACTACTGTTTTTCATTTTACTTTAATTTAAATATGCCTCTTATGTTCTAAATTACTTTTATAAGCAAACTTTGAAAGGGTTTTTTTAATTGGCAGCTTCTTCTAATAATTACTGTTTTGATATAAATTACAATTTTTATTTAAAGTTATTGACGATATACACAATGAATAGTCTGGATAAATATAATTAGCAGCTTATTAAAATACACTAGTATTTTCATTGTTTATATTTCTTTGAAACATTATATGAATATTGTTAAATCCCATAACAAACATCTGAAAACATCTGTCAGGGCCCCAAATCCTTCCTTGATTCTATATCTGTGTGCTTTTACTTTGGGGCCTGTCATTCTGTTGGGGGGAGAGGGAACTTGCTTTTGCTTGGGATAACTTTCGCTTTCTGCTTTCCTTATTGCTGATTTAATTATATCATTCAAGCAGGATTTTCCCCAGATCTCGCTTTGACTACCCTACTGTCACTAACCCCTAATAAAAGTTTCCTTTTGAGACAATGCCTATTTCAAGAGTTCTACCTTCTTGGGTGGTTAGTTGAGGTGGGTCCTTATATAAGGTGAGATCTGCATAGTACTCAACCCGGAGAAGCTGCTGCCCTACCGGGGGAGTCGCAACTGATTTATACATGGAGGAGTTCCAGGCAGAGAAATGAGCCAAAGATCTCCTCTGCCTAAAAGCTGATGAAAGCCTCCCCAGGGACCTGGAAGAAGCTGGAACTTCTGGTGAAGAAAATCTAGCCAGATGGTCACTCGGAGTCGGTAAGAAGGAAGGATTGGAGAAGAAAGCCCCGAAAATCACTCTTACCTGAGGTGGAGGGAAGAAAAAGCAAAGAAGAAAAATCCAGAACCTGCCCCTCCTGATAAATAAGGAACAAAAGAGGAATCGAAATCGGGGACAATGGAAGCTGTGATGGAATATGTGAAAAAAGCCCTCGAGCTTAAGGTGCAACTGAAAGAAAGGCCCACATCAGAGGAAGTGTCGGAAGGTGAATCAGATGAAGAAGAATCCAAGGTCCAAGAGATGGCTGTGGCTGGAGCCCAGGAAACAGCGAGGCCGTCTGTCTCAAGGAACCAGAGGCAGACCACCTCAAGCAGCTGAGGTGAAGCCAATCCCAATCGGTGTGAAGTTCGATGGAGACCCAAAATGCTTGGGGTATTTCCTGGCACAAGTGTTCACCTACATGCAAATCTATGGGAGAACATTGCCTACTGATGTTGAGAAGGTCCAAGAGGTCACCCTAGCCCTGAAAGGTGAAGCAGCTGACTGGATGGAGACCACACGAGGTTCCCCTGCTCCAGTGCGCAGCACTGCCTGTTTCAAATATGGTAAGGAGGGGCATCGAGCCATGGATTGCTGCAGCAAGACATCGGCCAAAAGAGGATATTGTCTACCAGCTGGAAGACCTCTGAGAGCCTCACCACACTGTAGGGAGACTGCGATGAGGTCTGGGGAAGTCCCTGAGATCGCAACTGAGAAGGTGGAGCTCTGACTCCATGCCACGATGACCCAGGAGTGGCGGAAGACAACTACAAGGACAACCCATTGGTGAGTGGGCCGATTGACCTCATAACACTGCCCCTAGAACTCTCTATACCTGGCACTGGAAAGACAGTAAAGTTAGTCATCCTACTGATGCATGATTAGCCCAGAACTAGTGAGGAAAATGGGAATACCCCTCAGGAGACTAAAACCCCCAATTACTTTCTGCCAACTGGATGGCTCAGTTGCAAGGGGGGGTACCCGCCAGTTTTGCCATCAGACCGCTACATATTGACCTGGGAGATCACACAGAGACTCTAGCTTTTATTGTGGAGTGGTCATTAGTCCTAGGTCTGGCTTGGTTAAAGTGGAACCCCATGATCAACTGGAGGGAAGGACAGTTAAAATTCCCACAGGGGGGAACCCCACCTGTTACTAAAGAAAACAGTGAGAGATGTGGATTACACCACAATTTTGCTTCCACCCTCAGTGAGTCAGACCTGAAAGCCCTCCCAATGGAATACTGAGACTTGACCGAAGCTTTCAGTGAACGGAGGGTGGACGAACTTCCCCCTCACCGATCCACAGACTGTGCTATAGAAATCATCCCAGGGCTGAAACTATCAAAGCCAAAAATGTACTCTATGACTCCCAGGGAATTAGACGAACTGGGAAAGTTCATCAAAAAGAATTTGGAGCAGGGTTTTATAGAGCCGGCTAGACTCCGGGTAGCAGCCCCTGTATTGTTCAGAGAAAGGAAAGATGGCTCTGTTCGTCTGTGTGTGGATTATAGGAGTCTTAACACTGTGTGTGTGGAAAACATATACCCACTACCTTTAATGAAGGACATGTTAGTGCACTTATTGAAAGGAAAGATTTTCTCCAAATCGGACTTGAGAGAAGCTTATTACTGAATACAGATAAAGAAAGGGGATGAATGGAAAACTGCTTTCAATTGCCCCCTTGGGCCCTAGCCCCCGTCTTTACAGGAATGGATTAAACAGTTACAGAACACCTGGCCAGTAGTCAGGAAAGCTCTAGATCAGTGGTTCTCAACCTTTTTAATGCCGCGACCCCCAACCGGTCGTAAGTCGAGGACTAAACCAGTCGTAAGTCGAGGACTAAACTGGTTGTAAGTCAAGCACTACCCAACCGGTTGTAAGTCAAGGACTTTCCCTGCCCGGGAGTGCCGCGCATGCGTGGTTCCGCCCCCTGCGCCGGCCGAGGCATAGCTGGCAAGTGGCAGAGACGGAGCAGGCCGACCACCAGCTGGCCCAGCTCAAGGGAGGTGAGGCACCTGCCGGAAAAGGGGGAAAAAATGGCAGACAGCCTTGCTTGGCGACCCCCGTGAAATGGTCGATCAACCCCAAATGGGGTCGCAACCCATAGGTTGAGAACCGCTGCTCTAGATGAAGCCAGAGAAGCTTATAAAACACAAACAGATAAATGGGGGGGAAGGGGGGGGGAACAGAAATCATATAAAGTTGGGGACTGGGTATATCTCTCCACGAAGTACTTACAATCCTTACAACCATCTAAAAAATTGGACCCTAAATTTGTTGGACCTTTCCCGGTCAAGCGAATCATTAACTCTGTTACGGTTGAATTGCATTTACCAAAAAAAATATGGAAAACACATCCCATTTTCCACTGCAGCCTACTTCTCCTATTTACAAAAAGTTAGCTATTACTCATAAACTTTAATCTTAGTTCTTTATCTTAATAAAATGACTCCATGGTATAACTCTAAATGTTTGCTTTTCTTGCTTTTATTATTAGAGTTTGGGTTTCTGTTCCAGATTCTCTTGTGTGAAGTTTTTTAATGTTGATACCAATTAAAATAGAGAGGAAGTTCTGAGGAGCAACACAATGGCTGCCTGTAATTTACTGCTGTTGTGTTTCCATTTTGGCATATATGATTTAGAGAATTCCAATTTAATAAGGATTAATAAATAATTTCCTTACTAAAAAACTGATACTGTTTTTAAGTGTCCCATTAAAGGATAATAACTCCTTAAGCCATGTCCAGGCCATGGTAACTATATAAAGATGTTCATGTAGTTTTCTTGGCAATAGGAAACAAATTTTTATGAAGAAATAAGGAACAAATTGTTATGGAACAACAATTCTCTGCTATTGAATATTTTAATACCAATTAATTGAGATCTGATTAAAGCTGTGAGGAAATAATAATGGATGTGCCCATGTAGGACTTTACAGCAACAGTGTAAATGCCATAGTTTGAAATGGGAGGAGAGAGACTCTAAAACAACCCAGAAAGACAGAAAATGGAGCTACTGCTTGACTTTTAGTTCTAAAAGAAGGAAAATAAGAAAGAAAATCCTTTGATCTGAATGGGCAAATTCAGTAATGATAGCCCAGTGTCAATGCAATTAAGGAAATAAGTGTGACAATGTAATATTTAACACACAGAACATCAAAATAGCTTAGTTTCCTGTGGACAACAATAATTCTGGTATTAAGATGACTTTTCATGCTCTTATCTTTATTTATTCTAGTTCACTAGTCCCCTGCTGGATCTGTTTACCTCACAGCATCAGGCAAATATTGCATTGAGGGATACACAACTTCAGAATGGAACTTTATACAATAATACTGAGACTTCGGGCTTGATTTGACCAGGTAGAGATTGGTAAAGTCTGTATTTCCATAAAGATCTGAAAAAGAAACAAAAATTACAAGTATCATTGCATGTAATTGTCTTTCAATTCGCTATAGTAATACTTGCAAGTTTGTCTTAATCTACTTCTTTACAAACAAATTATGCTGTATTTATCTCAAGCATATCATAATAATATGAGAGCCAGTTTGGTGTAGTGGTTAAGGCATGATGCTAAATTTCTTGGAGACTGTAAGTTCCTGTCCCACATTACACACGAAGCCAGCTGTTTGGACTAGTCTCTTTCTCTCAGCCCTAGGAAGGAGGCAGTGGTAAACCTCTTCTGAAAAACCTTGCCCAAAAATCTGCAATGACCTGTCATTTGGCCAAATGCAATGGGTGTTTTTTTTTTCAAATTTCATTAAATTTGGGATTTGGATATAATTTCAGTTTTGAAATCGGTTCAGTCCCATAGTACAACAGTAATGCTCATGGTTTGGAAACAAAATTGGCTTTGTTTTGAAATAAGCAATGTTTTGCTGTTCTGGTTTATATAACTTTAGAAGAATGAATATAAAACATTGGGAAGATCCAAAAGCTGCTGTGAAGCAGACTGGACCAAATCTCAAAGAAAATGATAATGAACTCAACACACACACACACACACACACACACAAACCCAGTTACTACACACCATATCCGATTTCTGGCCTGTGATTTCTGGAAGCCCCACTTCTACAAACTCTTGAATCTGTCAAGTTCAACAGGTGCAGTCACATATTGCCCATCATTATGGAATAATTGTTGGCCATTCCAATTGCTTCCTGCTTCTGACAAGATTACCTTTGCCATCCTTCCTTTCTAGTGTTAGGAGCCTTAACCCCACACAGGCCTCCAGCAGCCTCTGCATCCCAATGGGGCTGGTGCTCAAGCGCTCAGCAACAGTTGTGGAAGTCAGCTGTTCCCTCGACTCACTGAGGAGATCGAAGACACCTAGCTCACAGGCTGTTGAAATGACCTAGGAAGAAGCAGAGAGGAGGAACAAAATCTGTGGCTTTCCTGTCAGTTGGATTATATCCAATAATCCAAAAATCTATTTGTGTGGTTTACTGAAGAAGGAATCAAGCAGGGCGTCACATGTTAACCAGCCCCACCAGCTATTGAGCAAAAGGAGAAAGGGCATATGTAGAGAGCCATTCATTTGTGGGGCCACATCCCCTCTGTGCTGAATGGGTGTAGTAACACCCATAAAGCAACTAATGTTATGGGCTTTGTTCAATTTATTTGTGAAGTTTCAGGCAAAATCTATACACACATGCACACACACAGTGAAAGAGAGAGAGACAGAGAGAGACAGAGACTGAAATAGCAAATACTCTCCACAATCTGAGGCAACCAGATTTATTTATTTAGGCCCACTTCCTAGAAGCAATCTTTCAGCCTTAAGGGCTGCAGGGACCATGGCTGATGATGTGTTCAACCACCAGATGGGGAAATAGTCAGAAAGAGCAACATCCTTGGAGAAGCAGAAGGGGAACAGAAACACAAATGCCTCATTATATCATTACAATTCACACTCCATCTTTTTTATATATACTCTATGCTATTATTAATGGGAGATATCCAAGTGGGGGAAAAAACTGAAGAAAAGAATATGTGATCCTACCTGACTAGAGTAAAAAAAACAACAGATAATACATATACGAACATCCCATTGGGGAAGCAAAGTTTTATGGCAGAAAAAAATAATTCCATCTCTTTCTTAATGGCATAACAATTTGCTGCATTAAAAGAGAATAATTAATGCTTTATGAATAGTAATTAAACTAGTACAAGAAGAAATTTTGAAGCTGCCTTCTACTATAGTAAACACTGCTGAGATTCCAGATTCAAAATTTCCTAAAATAATTTCAGCCAAAATTTAGCAAATAAAGAAAATATCAAGGCTTAAATGCAATATTAGGTATAGGATAGATATAGATTTTGTTGCAATATTAGAGTTAAAAACATGAAGGGTATACAGTCACTAAATTATTTAGTAAATTAGCATAGAGATTTATTCACAGAATTTAGTCCTTAGAACATGGAAACTGTAACCAATATGAATCTATAATCATCTGGGTAATAAAAAAGCAAAACAGGCTATTAAAAACTACTGAGGAATTTACCTACATCTAAAGCAGAGCTTTTCAACCAGTGGTATGGGTACCACCTGTGGTACATTGGCACCTGGCAGTAGTACGCGACTATCCTAGAAAAGTGGTAGCAGGGGAGGGGAATGAGCTGAACTGGTGGCAGCACCGCACAAGCCTCAGCGAGAGATGGCTGGAGCTGCAAGGCTGTCAGGGCTCAGCGGAAGCATCAGGATCAGCGCTTCAGGGCTGTCAGGGCTCAACAGAAGCGCCAGGATCAGTGACAGGCTCCAGCTGGAGCTTGTCGCTGATCCTGGCGCTTCTGCTGAGCCCAGAAAAAGCACTGATCAGCTGGAATGTTGCAGCATCTCCAGGGTCTTGTGATTTACATTCAGATGCTTGGCAACTGATTCATATTTATGATGGTCACAGTGTCCCAGGGTCATGTGAAGTGACCAAAACCTGCTGCAACTACCCAGCAGATGGGGGGAATAAAAACCAAACACCCCCACCCCACCCCCACTGCCAATCCTCAACAGAAATGCTCACAACAATGAAAACGTCAGACAGAAGGAAGAGCGCGGCCAGGTGGGCAGGCAGGTGTCTTGCTCAGCTGTGGCTTGGGGGGCACTTTTTTCAGTGCCATTGTAACTTCGAACAGTCACTAAGCAAACTGTTGTAAGCCAAGGACTACCTGTACTTTATCTCTTTTTTCCTTTTTGGGGGGAGTCATCAAGTTTTTGACACCTTGCTAGGCGACTGGTGGTACTCGGATATTGCCATATCCTAAAAGTGGTACAATGGGTGAAAAGATTGAAAAGCCCTGATCTAAAGCATGGTGTAATAAAATTTTGTAAGCTGTAATTGGGCCCATTTTAATTCCTGATTGACACAAGAAGACCATGTTTGAATGAGGAAAGTAATCTATTGATGTCCAGTGAAGCAAATCTGCTCAGAAGCAACAAGAAAGAAATTTGTGGCTATTTATTACTGGCCATTTCATCACCACATAAACTTTGGTGATTCTATTGCTTTTACAACTATTAAGAAATTGAGAAATGAAAAAGTTAAGATTTAATATTTGTGAGTATTACCCATCTTACCTTGAAAATTATAAATGAATGCTGGTATTGAAATAATGTTTGAATATTTTCAGTTTCTTCTGATGAACTCATTGTTCTTGGCTTCTCTCGTTGACCCAAAATGATCCTTTTCCAGCCAGATCACTTGTTATTCCTGATGTAAAATTTGCAAAATATAGATGTCCTTAAGATGTTCCAAGGTAAAGGGTGTTAAGCATTATTAATGATAAAACAAGGACACAGAAGGTTTTCAAAAGTCCTTCAACAATGGCTCCTGAATAAATTTAGCTGCCCTGGCATTAGAGGACAAGTGCTCTCGTGGAATGGCCATTTGTTGAAAAGCAGGTAACAAGGGATAGGTGTAAATGAGCAATTTGTGTACTTGTATGTAGGTCTTGTTGGCACACCTTAAGAAAAATATGATATAGCTATAAAAGATGTAAATTAAGGGTACCCCAAAATATTGGAAGGATGAAAGTGCCCCTTTTGCAGCCAGATGGAGCTTCCAGCCTCCCCAAGGTCTCTGTCTGGCTAAAAAGTGTTTGAGCGCCTATGGAGCGCTTTAAAATGTTCCATTTCACTCCTTTTCAAAGCACTCCATAGGCGCTCAAACACTTTTTAGCCGGATAGAGACCTTGGGGAGGCTGAAAGCTCCGTCTGGCTGCAAATGAGGCATTTTGAAATGGAGTGTTTCAAAGCACCCCATTTGCAGCCAGACAGAGCTTCCAGCCTCCCCAAGATCTCCATCTGGCTAAAAAGTGTTCCAGCAGTGGCGGAAAGGAGTTGGGGGGAGCAGGAAACAGGCATCCCATACACTTTTTGCCCTGAAATCAAAGTTTCTGGGGTCCATGATCTCTCAAGAGTTCAGGCACCCATTCTCTGAACTTGCACAATATTACGGCACCCAGGAGTTTCCATTTACTCTCCTCTCCCTCAAAGCGGCAGAGAGGAGAAACGGCAGCAGAGAGGGTTTTTGCAAGGTAAGTGAATCTGGCATGGCAGAATGGGAGAGGGAAGCAGTTGTGGGGAGGGGGGGAAATCGGGTGAATTTTTTTTTGCAGAGCCTCTGCAGTCATTCGTAAGGCAAACAACTACTGTGGTGCAGCAACATTCGTAATTTTTGGAGTTACTCATAAACACTAGGGCAGTGATGGCGAACCTTTTAGAGACCGAGTGCCCAAACTGCAACCCAAACCCCATTTATTTATCGCCGGGTGCCAGCTGGGCATGGCAGGTGGGTAAGTGGGCAGGAGGCTCGTCCTATGGGATGAGGCGAGGCAAGGCGAGGCAGGGCGGGGGTGCCATTGCCGCTGGGCAAGGCGAGGCAGGGGCCGGGACGCCTGCTGCCTGACACCATCTGCCCCCGCACACAGAGGCCAGCGAGCACATGGGTGCTGGGATGCATCTGGCCATGTGGGACCTCGGCGAGTTAGCGGGCAGCTGGTTGAAGAGGGACAGTTGCCATCTCCAGGGCATGGCACGTGTGCCAACAGAGAAGGCTCTGAGTGCCACCTCTGGCACTAGGGGGTGCTTATTGTGTAACTTCGAACGAGAGCTAAGTGAATGCTCGTAACTCAGGGATTACCTGTACTGCCTCTCGTCTTTAATGCCCTCCACTCATAAATTCCATAATGTCTGCCTGACCTTATTTCTCTTGAGGACCCAGGAGGTAAGGCTTTCTTTCCCTCCAGGGTGTCTGTCCCCTGGTTCTCCATATCTGACTTGGGAAAATTAGTGTCAAAACTGTTCTGAGAATTTTCCTTTAAACTATTTGAGAAAATGGGAAATGATGAGAAAAGAGAAAAGGCAGAAAGAGAAGAACTGACTTTTTGTTTCAGGAAAATATGTAGGAATCAGGGTTAAGTCTATGTATACAGCTAAGAACAACAAATTTTAGAATATGGAAATTGGGGAAATAGTGTGAGAAGTTTTATATCAAAATATATTTTATTCTTTATACTGTTTCCATCTTCCCTTAAAACATTAACAGAATTTACAATGGACTGGGAAGCAGCGTCTCCACTAGATAATTGATAGTCAAGCTAAAACTAAGTTAATCAAGTAAAAATAACAAACAGGGGGAAATCTTTTACTTAAACCTCTTCAAACCCTCAAATAAGTTACCCAGATCTAATCCACATATCAAAGATAAGGTCTGTAAGCACAAATAGAGTTAATTAAATTAGGTCTTCCAGTAGAACTGCATGTTCACAAGAATAAACTATAAATATCATAGATGACATACCTACACGTACCCATGCTGCTCAAATGTTATCTAGAATCAGCACGTAGATATTTCCACACCCAATGGAAAGTATAAAAGTATGCCCCATTTCTTGGCAGCTGCCCCCAAAGTAAACTCTTTGCTTTTGGGAATAAATATTTCTCTTTTTCTCACAGCTGTCTGAATCTCATTTTTATTTACTCTTGTGCAATCCCGAATCAAGTTGGAACCCCAAATTATTCTTCTGACAATAGTAAAAATACATTTCTCTAAGAAAGATATGCAAAAAAAAATAATCAAAGAATTAGAAAATGCTAACATTTAGATAGTTATTAGAATATGGAAAGTTGGGGGAGTTGAGAAGGGCATGAACTAACCACCTAGTTTCAGAACAAATGTTTAAAAATAGAAATTTAAGCGTTAAAGAAGGTGGAACCCAAGACTTAATATATTAAAATAAACTTGAAATACTATTAATGCAATAATTATTATATGCATACATTGTAGAATATATAAAAAGATTTACTACTAGATATTTTTCAGAATAAATATTAACTTAGTTACACTAATCAGGATGGGCAACTTCTAGAAATCAAGTCAGGTAAAAAGAATAGTCTTATTTGCCTTCTGCTTTTTTCAATTTCCTTTTTCTTGATTATTACATGGTCTAATTTGTAGATACTATATATTTCTCTAAAGACCTTGGCATAGCTGGTGTAATTCCATATAAAAGAAAAGCCGTAAAAAACTGGATAGAAAATCTGAGATTAGTAGCCTCTTACAGATACTACAGTCCATGCTTCGCAAACAGGAAGTGCTGAGTTTAGTGGTTGAAGTCTTACCCAAACAGTCGAGCAGATTCCAAGTCAGTCTTTCAAGTGATAGTTTCATGAGATACTTAGGATAAGCCTCAATTTCAAGCAAAAGAAGAAAAGTCAGAGAGTGGGTATATATCAGCACAGCACAGGGGTGTTTACAGGACTTGCTTAATTAACCTGCCAAGCCAGTTCTGATCTAGCCATCACTTCATTGTAGATGAAGTATCTCTCTTCAGAAATTCCAAGGACAGATGCTAATTGATGAGACTAGAAGATTTCAGTTAAGAATGTAAGCAAACCTGCTTCATTAGTCATCAGAGAATTATTTCTACAAGATAATGCACATTGATATATGACTCCAGAAAAATTATTCAAAATGTGTAAGGGCACTTCAAATTCATGTTGAAAATCTTGGCAACACAATTAATCATTTTACCAAGCCTCATGGATTTATTAAAAAGATAGGACCTGGTTTCATACTGCGCTAGAACCCCGCCTACCACATATTTTGGGGGCTGGCTGCAAAAGTGGGGAGAACTAATTTTTAGAAAGTGGATCCCTTTCTAAAAATAGTTTTCATCTGACATCTCCTGCAAGTCTGAAAATCAAGTTAGACCCAGGACACCCAGTGCTTTAAAAAGAGCAACCACCCACCCAACTCCTAATAAAAAGCCAAAAGACGTTATTTAACATCAAGAATTTATTTATGTCTTCGGCAAAACAGGTGTAGCAAGTCTTCGGCAAAACAGGTGTAATTCTGTACAAAGTCAAGTAAATCTGGATATAAAATCTGTCATTAGTAGCCTCTTACAGATAATGCAGTCCATGATTCACAGACAGAAGTTCTGAGTTTAGTGGCTAAAGTCTTACCCATCTGAGTAGAGGAGATTCCAAAACAGTCTTTCAAGTGATAGTTCCATGAGATCCCAGACTTTCTTGGTTTTTTCCTTGAAAATGTTTCACTTTTCATCCCAGAAGCTTCTTCAGTTCTGACTGAATAGTGGGAATGGAAGGATTTATCTTCTTTGCAGTCATCCTGTTGTTAGCACTCTGAAGGTCAGTCGTTTGCTCTCTGAGAGTGCTCTGAGACAGTTGTTGAGATCACTTGGGGGGTTTAGCTATACCCTCAGGGTCACCTGAATCAGAGTATCAATGGGTGTGAAACCTTCTTGGACAGCTGAAAGGACTGCATTGTAGACAGGAGATAGATGGTATCATATCCCTCCCCCTCTGTGGAGAGAAGGCTGATCAATTTTAACATAGATGGCCTCTTTAACCCCTCTTTCAAACCAGTGTTTATCTCTGTCCAGAATGTGAAGAACTTTGCTGTCTTCAAAAAGGTGACCTTTGTCTTTCAGAAATAGACCCATCATGATGATTGAAAGTGGGGAGGGTGAAATTCAAGAGAGTGAACATGGAAGAGAAAATACCCCCACGCCCCCAACAACCCCCCGCTGGAGGAGAAGCAGAGAGGGGGAGGCACCTGCATCCGCATGAGCGCAGACGAAAGAACACACCAAAGGATTGGTGTTGAAACGTGGGGGGGTAGTAGGAAAATCACCATGAAGATTGAGAGTGAGGAGGGACAACAGGGAGGTGAGCACGAAAGGGGGGACACCCCTGCACCCTCAACGCCCCCCGCTGGATGAAGGGGGGGAGGGGGAGGTGATTGACATCTTAGCACGAGCGGAGGAAAGATTGAACTGGAGAGGTGTGACTGGGAAGGGAGCAGTGAGGAAAGAATGGGAAGTGGATTGGGGAAACAACGGAGAACCTGCCACGGAGATCGAGAGTGGGGGGAGGCAACAGAAAGAGGGACGCGCAGGAGGGAACATCCCCAAACCCCCAACAGCCTCGCGCCTGAGAAAGAGTGGGGAGGAAGGGACCAGCACTCTCTCGCGCCTGAGAAAGGGTGGGGAGGAAGAGACCAGCACTCACGTGCACACGGAGGAAAGATCGAACGGGGGAACGGAGGTTAGAAAGGGCGAGGAGAGGAGGGCAGGACCAGGGAGTTGTGAGGGAGAGAATACCTTCGCACCCCCAATGGCCCC